AACAAAGACCTTGCACAAGCAGTTGTTCTTACCTTCTAACTCTGTGGGCAGATTCAAATAATTGCACTCATACAACAAATGATCACTTGTAGTAAAGAAACACTGAGGTATTGCAAAAAAAAAAAAAAAAAACATTTTGGGGAGTTCGTTTTTAAAACCTAATATTCCATCTTTACTTTCTCAACTGATTCTACAAGATACACTAAGGCATTGAAGAGAAAATTATGAATTTATGGATATTTATATTTTCTTTTTTTTTTTTTAATTTAAAACAGTTTATATTGAAAAGACCCCCATAAATATGCATACACCAATGCGAACAGACCTTCATCATAAGACCACCTGGTATCAAGCCTGTGTGGCATGTTGGTATTACCACACCCCCATATAGCAGGTGATTATCTCCTCAATGACCAGGGTAGTGTCCACAGATTACGACACTTAGCACAGGCAAAGATGGGGGATGATGAGCCCTGGCATAGTTGACAAGTGTTATTATTACTGACCAGCTTGTTCAGACTCACTGATGCAGGTTCCATTACACCACATGCATGGAGATTGATTGTGTTGTAAAAATGTGGATGTCTTCGCCATAACAAGCCTGCATTTATTCTAAAACTGCATTTGTTACTCTTGGGCTGTCACAAAATTTAATTTTTGAGTTATTTTTTTCCTTATCGAAGTAAGCATGCTGGAATGTAATGGTAAAGAACATGATAGCCAAACAAGTTGCTGTACTATATTTCATGACATTAAAACTGTCAACCTCAAATGCTCTTTCTGATTCACTGACATGTTTTTCTATTTTTGATAATGTGAACCTGTCCTATCTATGCTTTTAAAATATAAATCATTTATGCAGCATGCAGCTATGTGTATGTGATATGAAAATAGTATGAAATTTAAGACATACAGTTCAGTAAACAGTTCTCAATAGGAATGGAAACATTTTTTTTTTGCACCATCACATAAACTGAGAAGATATATTTTCCTGCTGATATTAACTATTGAAGGTACAAAGTGATTATAATCGCATTAAAAAAAACACTGAGAAAAAGGAACACTCATTTCTAAAAACAGGATTTCCCTTTTCCAAACCTCTCAAAATCAAATTCTTATGTTATAAAATTGTCTGTTTTTTCTCTTCAACTACCTATAACCCTTTGTGTCCAGACACAACCTTCATAACTTATTGACTGGGTGTGTGCTTGTGTGCGTCTGAGGATAAAATGTCACACTATAGGCTACCTTTTCAATAACATGACAGGGTCCTTGCAAAAAGGGTGTCTTTGTCTGCCAAGGAAGGGATGTATACATCAATCTACGTGACAAGATCCCAATTAACTACTTGACTGACCACATGGTGTAACGTGACCCTTTAAAGTGATACATTATATATCATATATCATCATTGGGTGCCATCCTCTCTCTCAGGTTAACTGTCATGGATCGCCATGTCTGTCCATCTTGTGCCATTTGTATGCTTGCACTATATTTCTGATTGGTCCATTCTTTACTGTTGTCGATCTCCAGGGGCAGATCCAGAGATATTTTCTGACAAACTATCTTTGTTGATTCATCCTCCATTTTTTGCTGTCTTTGGACAGAAAAAAATCAGATACCCATTAATATAAATTTGAATATATCTCAATCCACCCCTGTTGTTTTCAGTCTTCCACAAATTAGTCACTTAAAATCCACACTGGGCCATTCCAAATATTCCAGCATCCAAGCTGATTTATTTGTGCTTTAGAGGAATGGATTTTAAACAAAAAACTGAACCCTCAAGTCTTACAACTCTGATAAATAGTGGGGAAAATGTTTCTATGCTGTTTGCTATGTATAAATCACCACTTATACTCAAGGCAGTCTTTCATTTCTGAAGTTCTTCAGCTAATTAAGCTCTTTACTTCTTGCTTTGCCTAACAGTATTAATAGAAATGTCACCATTGCCTGAAATCTTTAAATCTGGTTGAAGATAAAAGTTGCTGGCAAAAATAGCTGGCAGAAAGTATCCAACTTATTAACAAAAATGAAAAAAAATATCCACATGCAATCTCTTTTTCAAATTCAGGTGACCTACACTAAGACTTGTTAACAGTAACTGAAGTTTAACACTAACAGCATAGCTGATAGCATCTATACAATAAATGTCACTATATCTCCATCAAAAGTCCGCTTTTGATTCAGACAGATGGCAGACATTTTAAATCAGTCAATTAAAAGGCCATCCAGTGCTAGGACTCCAAATGAATAAAGACAGGTAGATTGATACATATTGATGGATGCGATTATCACAAAACAGCTGCAATATCAGAAGTCTGAGTTTAATGCAAAGCTTAACATCAAAGCCAGTTTGCTAACAGATCAATTAAATGCTTGGACAGAACAAAACTTTGAATGTCGATAGCAATGTCAGAAATGATGACTGAAGTAGTAAGTTTAAAATAAGATGTCATATTAGTGAATGTAAGACTTAAAATGTCAGACTACAGGCAAATTTATCCAAATGTAAAATATACAAACTACAGCTTGACACACTTGTGGGAAATAAGCACAAGCAAAGTCAGAAATATCAGCTGTCGTAGTGTTTTTTCTTGTTCGACACCATTCAAAAATTGTCTCAGGCAAATTACTCCATCACACCTTGCTAGACATGATCTGAGCCAACTGCCCCATGATGGCTTTAGCTGACCTGTGTCCACCTGCCCTGACAGCTGGGCAGTTATTGTGCTCACTGGTTACATACAATACAGCACCAGACCATCAGCAGAGACTCCACACCTGCTGTACCTCAATGTTTGCCAACACACCTTACATCTTACTAGTACACTGTTATAGTGTGAATATATTTGTTCTCTGCTACTAGCTATCACCAATACAAACAGTTATGCAATGGAATGTGAACACCCAAAGAGATTTAATTAGTACTACAAATTAACAACTTGCTCACTGCTCAAAGTCTTGAATTTTTCTGGCAAGAAATCTATTTGGTTTATAATTATGGTTGATGAATGTTGTAACAGAACGGTCGACACAAATAATTCAATAAAGTTGTGATTCCACTTAAAAAATACTTACTGTGACAATTGTAAGGAACGACAGATATATTATATTAATAAAACATAAACAAAATACGACAAAATAAAACTGTCAGTTCATTTCAACTTGTATTATAAGCAAGAAAATGCCTCAACAGCACTGTGTTTCTGTATAACAGTTCGTATGACAAAGGGTTATCGACCATAAACAGTTCCAGGCTTTTACAGCTGATGTATTATTGTACCTACTAGTTAGTCAACCCTGGAGGGAATAAGTTAATGATATATCTTCTTGATTGTATGTACAGAATGGAATTTTCCACCCAGGGCTTAAAAATGCCCTGTAACCTTTATATTACTTCCCAAGACATGGTGATAGCGATTTAATACACATGCACAGTAACAACAGCGTTATAACTCCTTGACAACACTGACAGAATGGATTTGAAGTCAAGAATTAGAGTACGGCGCTTTTTTAACTTCAGTTCAAGGAGTTGTAAACAAAACTTTTAAATAAAAGTGTCTGAAGGAAACCGGCGACTTCCTGCTGTCGAAACTGACATTCTATAGTTTTTTTAAATATATTTTATTAATTACTGCACAATTCTGTTTAAAACACAGGTTACTGTAACTGGTATTAAGTAATACTGCGATCCGCCGGTTAAATTAACCCTTGTCAATGGACAAGTATTCAGTATTCCAGTTTCTGATAGCGTTACTCACCCCAAACATTTAACCAGCCTTCTATGCGACTTGGAAAGGGCATTTTAGCATTTCCGTCCATGTTCACTTCTGTCAATTGTATATTCCGCCGGTTATCTGTATGAAATCCTCAATTCCAACAAAACATGAGTTTAATTCTTCGTGGATTCAGTACGCCGTGTTTCCTCTTTCTGCGCCATTTTGAGTTTACCACCAGCTGTCGAGCGTAGCGATATCAATCGACCTGACCTATTTTTAAAGAGTCAGATTTCTTTTAAAATAACGACTTTTTCCTATCGAGGAGAGAAGAACTGTTAACTTTCTACCGCTCACGGAAGAGATTAATGGGTCGGTGACACTTAACCCCCGATTAGTCATTCCCACAACACGTTTATTTATTTACCTGCTGTAATCGACAAATTGGGTCAAGCGATGACCTAGATTCTGGGGGCTCTATTTGGGGGGTCACAATTAACGCACTTTATAAAATCAAAAATTATCTTTTTTTAAAAAAACAAATTCACAAACAGAAACATATAAGTGTGCATGTTTGCACAAGAGAGAGAGAGAGAGAGAGAGAGAGAGAGAGAGAGAGAAAGCTCCTTAACGGAAAATGATCAGGAAAATTCAATAAATAATTTAAGTAAATAATTTACATGAAACAAAAGAAAAAAAGGAGGTACTAGCTGTGGTATAATATTCCTTTATAAGAGTAGGGGTGATTAATTTAAATAATGACAAAAACAGTGAATCTATAAAATTGCAGTGGACTTAATATAAATAT